TAATTAGTTTACATATAATAATGTGAAAGCTATTAGATGTGTTCTACTACAAAGAATTTGCTAGGTTCTCTTTTTCAAAACCAATAATGCAGTGACTATTCATGTTTAATTTCTCCTGTTAGTTGCATACTTCAAATACAAAACTGTCGAATTATCCAGTGAGCAGATCATAATGAATTGCATAATTTTTCCCTTCCATATTTCCATACACCACGTTCAACAAAAACAAAAAAAAAAATGTAAACAAACTCTCAAAGAAACGAAAAAAATGAATCAGAAAAAATTGTAAACAGCTTGCAAAACCCCCAAATCAAACATTCAAAACAAACCCGTGATTTATGTCACAAAAAACACTCATCCTTCATTAAAAATCCAACTTTTTTTATATATATAAAAAAGAGGGGAAAAAATTAAGACTCTAGCCAAAACCCACAAAAAGGTGAATTAGAATTACCTGAATCAGATATTCCGATCTTACACCTCCAAACAAACAAAAACACAATCAAGAAACAGAGAGAGAGAGAGAGAGAGAGTTTGTTTGCCTGTGTAAGGAAAAAGAAGGAAAGGCGTCGGCCGGTTCGGTTTCGGAGCTTCTCGTTGTCGTCGGGAATGAGTCACCGATGAGGGTGGGTTCGGTGGAGGAGAAGGAGGCTGAGTGAGAGTGAGTGTATCTACTCTGTATAAGTTGTATACAGCTTTGGGCGGGAAAATCAAATTCAATTTGTTTTAATTTTTTTTTTTTTATAGTCGTTGGATCTACAACGACTGATAGGAAATGAATGAGAGGCGTTAATAGGAGAGAATCTGAACTAAAAATTGACATTTTACAAAAATGATTGATGATGTTAGCAAAAAATGTTAGTTCACCTAGCAATAAGTTAACTAATGGGCAAATTATAGTGGCATTATAAATCTAAAGAGGAGAATATAAATTCCAAAACCTTAAAGAGCAATTTGTATTAAATATAAATCTCAAGAGGTATAAATATAATTTACCTTTTTTTTGAAAAATGGTGATTGTAATTTACCCAATAAAAAAAATAATACTATATACACCAATTAATATATTAACTAGTGTATCAATCGATGATATGACATAATTTAAAATATTTTTTATATTTATAATTTGTGTAATGAGTATGATCAATAATAATGTTACAATTAATATTAATACACTAATTAATATAGTAATTGTTACATGTAGTACCTCCGATAAAAAAAGGAGCAACAACTAAAAAGTGAGGGGGTTTAGGAATGACAATTTGAAACTAACTTGACAGGGACCCGACCCCAAATGAAACGATTTTTCCCCAAAAAATACCCTCGATGGGCCGGGGATGGTATTCAAAAATGAATCTCCGATCATTTTTCGAGCCGGGGACGGTGACACATTTCCCAGCCCCGGACCCGTCCCCATTTATCCCGATATGAAATTACCGTTGTACCCCTCTATATATGTGTGTGTGTGTGTGTTTTTCTCTATTTTTTTTGACTCACTTTGGGCTCTCTCTCTCTCTAAAACCCTCCCCTCCCTCCGATCTCACAACCTCACGTCGATCTCTCTCCCTCCTTCCGAGCTCCATCATTGTCTCACGTCGATCTTCCTCCCTCCATCCGATCTCCATCATTGGCTCTCGTCGCTAGTCTCTCTTCTCTGAAGCGCTCTCTCTCTCTCTCTCTCTCTCTCTCTCTCTCTCTCTCCACTCTCCATCACTGCCGATTATCGTTCGTCGTTGTCCCTTCATCATCAGAGTTTTGTTGCTTTTGTTGCCTTACCAACGCTGGTGTGAGATCTTCGTCCATCTGAGCTCATAGCTGTTATTGCTAAAGATTGTTATTGCTAAAGATGAAAAAAATGATGATCTGTTGAATGTGTTAGATTTTTTATTTTTTACATTTGATGAATATATATGCTCAAATTTGTTGATGATGTTGTTGTTGTTGATGAATATACATGCTTAGATCTGTTATTGTCGAATATATATATTTTTTTTTCGCAGGGGAATTTTCGGGGTTGAAGAAACCCGATCCCTGTTAGGGGACGAAGGCGATGATAGGCTTTCCATCGGGGATCGGGACTGGGGACTGCGAAATTTCTACCATCGGAGATCAAGGATCAAGAACGGGGAGTGTAATCCCCAGTCCCGTCCCGACCCGTTGTCATTCCTAATTAATAGTTCCCAACAAACACATCAATAACACATTATATAGCTCTAGAGAGATACAAACTAGCTACTAGTACTAACCACATGTGAAATTTTACTATACACTTTTTTTTATCATATATATTTTTAAATTATAATATTTTATTATTTAATTATAATTTTATTTTAATTATGATTCATAAAATTTTTAAATATATTTTATATATTATTTAACTATAATTCATAACATATAAAATTATATTATTTTTTTTCCTTTAATCACAAGATACCTACCGTGCGCCCATAGGTTTTTCCTTGAAGACATAACCTGAGAAAGTAGCTGTTTACCCAACGATTTTTCTGCTATAAAATGGAATTTGAGTTGAGTTGACATGACTCTTAAACCAAAGGACACCAACACTCTCTGTCTCTCCGTGTCTCTGTCTCTCTCTCTCTCCTCTTTCTCCGGGACTTTTCTGGTGCTATGCTATGCTATGCATCATGCGTCATACAATTCATTTATTGCTCCTCACCCTATGAATTTTAATGGTGACAGAGACACTAGCGATTTTCTCTTTCAATACATGTGATAAGCATTTCGAAAACAAAAATTTGGATTCGCGGTTGATTTTTTAATTATCTTAATTTATGTATCGTTTGGCAACAGGTTGATGTAATCAAAAAATTATTAAAAAAATTAAAAAATTAATAATTCATATTAAAAAATTAAAGATTCTCTTTTCTCTTTACTTTTTGCATATCTTTTCGTAAAAAGTTAAAAAATATCACAAACATACTAATTTTTTAGCTCATATTTTAACTAAATAACTAAAAAATTACTAAATTAACCTGTTTCCAAACGAGACCTTAGAATTAAAAAATTTTGTTTGAGACAAATTTTTTAATTTTTGTGAGAAAAAAATAAAATAATTATAATTTAGATGTTACATATTATCTTATTAAACTAAAAAACTTATTTTTTCTTTTTATTACTATTTTAATAAATAAATAAAAACTCATTTAACTTATGCCAAACAAGGACAATAATAAAAAACAAAAGACAATATTTTATTATAAGAATTTACTGGGCGAGTTTTAAATTATTGAACTTGGAATAGAACTTTTGAGCCTCTTTCACAGCTTTTTAGATGTGTATAATTATTTGTAGTAAGAATGATTATCTAAATAATATACATCTATGACTATATACTGGTCACAGACGGCCAAACAGGCCACAGATTCTTAATTGCACTTGCAAAGTGCCACTAATAAATTTGTTTTATTATCTAACATAAAAAAAAATTAATATATTATAGATTATTCTTAATCTTTGATTTTGTCTCCACATGTATTGACGGACTTAACTATGATCATTAATATTCTCTAGTCAAAGATTAAGATCTCGATCTCTTCAGATATTGAAAGAAGATTTGATACTCTGTTTCTTTGTCACTTACAATGTGGGCATATGTGTCAATCCAATTTTATTGGATGTCTTCTAATACAAAGTCATATAAAAGTTGATACTTGATAGTAACCCAATAATATATAAAGAATTAGCCTTTTTTGGTTAGAAAGAAGTTAGGTTCAGTTCAATGTGCCTGTTTGGTGCAGCTTAAAAATTGTTTATTTCAGTTTTCAATTTAATTTAAGTTATTTTGATGTGTGTGGTTTAGCTTATAACTCTTTGGAAGTCAGAAATCAACTTATTGTTTGAGTGGGCAGGAGATACTTAATTTATAAGTCAGAAATCAGCTTATGTTCATAGTTATAAGCTATAAGCTATTTAGGCATAAACTATAAGCACTTTCCCACAGCTCTACCAAACAGGCCATTGATAATACAAAAAATGGTACTCAAACCCCCCCAGCAGTCTAAGCCCACCAGACTTTTTACGAGCTATTTCAGTTTTTAATTTAATTTAAGTTATTTTGATGTGTTTGGTTTAGCTTATAACTTTTTGGAAGTCAGAAATCAACTTATTGTTTGAGTGGGACAGGAGATACTTAATTTATAAGTCAGAAATCAGCTTATGTTCATAGTTATAAGCTATAAGCTATTTAGGCATAAACTATAAGCACTTTCTTACAGCTCTACCAAACAGGGCCATTGATAATACAAAAAATGGTACTCAAACCCCCCAGCAGTCTAAGCCCACCAGACTTTTTACGAGCTGGGTTGGGCTGCAAATCAAAACCTTGGGCCCCAACCCTGCCAACAGGCCTGGCCCAGTCAAGTTAACAGACCAGGCCAATATCCAAGACTATTTCTGGATTTTAATATTTCCTGTTGGGCTTGTGGGCCAGGCCGATGAGCTGCCTCTCTCACATGGATCAACAAGCCTGGCTTGACTTCAGACCCTAAGACGAGCCCAATGAAAACCTCATCAGGTCAAGTTGCCTGCCCAGGGAGCAGCCTTGGGCTGACCAAAAGCATCACGGGGCCGGAGCCACGGGTCAAATGATAACCCTTATCTACACGTAATTTAACAGTACCTAACTCGCTATGGATTAAATTATATTTTATTAAGGCATTCCTACTCACATGACTAATGACACCATGGAATGCAAGCAATGAAAATGATCAACCCAGAAAGTCAACTTCTGTCCAGTTATGATCAATCCTATACAGTGGAGGATCGCATAGTTCTTATTCTCAAATGTATTCTTGTCAGAAGATAGATGTGTAGACAAATTAGCCATTACACATGTTCTACAGCAAAGCACCTACACTTGTTGAGAATGTATGAAACATCCCGCAAAACACTCACAAAAATAATCGATAAATTAGATAATAAACACATGTAATGAAAGCACACCATAAAGGATAAAAATGATGCCATTATGTATATGCATCTACATCAAAACACATATATAGAAGATTGACAAGTATGCAATCATATATACATAAATAAACAAATACTTTGTATATACACGTGATTCACGAATTTTTGGTAAGCAAATAGTCCAATGATAATATGACATGGTCAAACATACCATTGTAATCACACACTGCTCAGCATCACAGTATTTCATTAATCATACAGCTCAATTAAACACAATACAAACCTGTATGCATCTCTCAGGGAATCGTCCTGACAGGAAGTTGCTCATTTGTTTGGCATTCTTCCTTTACGGAGATACTGTGTACATTTTGTAGCCTAATCTTCTGAAAAAGATACAGCTTCTCAGCTTCGGCCTCATTCAACCGGAGTTCCAGGTATTTCTTGGCATATTCTTCTGATTTCGCTGCCTTGGCAAGAGTAATCCTCTGCAGCCTCTCAGCCTCTTGTCTAGCCTCATCAGCCTTAAGCTGAAACATATCAGCCTCAGCCTGTTTAAGCCTCGCAATGCTCTCCAACTCATCTATTTGCTGTTTCTTCCGTTGTCTCTCCAACTTTAATTCAGCAACTTCCCTAGCCTTCTCATCGAGCTCAAGTTCACTAGCCTCCAGTGCCTGGTGTGCTTTCTTGAACATCCTCATCTTCTCATCAGCCACCATTTCCATTTTCTTCAATGCCTCCTGCACCACCTCAGCAATTTGGTTGCATGCCTCCTGTGGAGCTATCACACGTCTATCTTCTCCAGATTCTGGATTTCTTGATGAGTCCATATCAAGTTCTGTACATAATTATTACATTATAAGAGGAGAAGAAAAGAAATGAGAAGGGGAAAAATAAGAAGAAGCAGAGTTGAGAGAGAGGGAAACTTCAAATGCAGCAACTAAGTCCCAAATGAATTCAAAAGAATGTTTAAACAACTAATCATCCAATAGGGTTATCATCTAAACCTAATTCTAAATGCACATTTAATATTGAAACCAACACAAAGATTTCAGACAATCTAGTACTTGATTGAGAACCTATAGAACTTTAATTGAGATAATGAGACTTGAAAAAAGTAAGGTCAAATAGATAAAAGCACGTAATCTTAAACATTATCCCGACATGAAAATTAAAGGCTATGCCAATCTGTACAAACTTATAAGTAATTTGTTAATATTTAATCCACAATTTATGGAAACTAGATCCCCTTTTTTCATGTTTAGACATAAAAAAGAAATTTCCCTGTTCAAAATAAGAGTCAAATCATTAGAAAAAAACATAAAGAAATTCATGTAGAATAGAAGCCAGTCAGGTAAAATAAATTAAATTCAGATAAAACTTAGGCTATGTTTGGCAATAGCTAACAAAGCTACATTTTTTTTGCCGAGTTTTTTTTTTTGTATTTTTTTAAAAATGTGTGCCAAAATGTTTTACTTTTTAGGTTTGTCAAGTCTAAATAGATCTTAAAAGTAGGAAAAAATTGAAAAATTCCGAAAAAAGTTCACTAGAGAAAAAAAAACTCAAAAAAGTCAATTTTAATGTTTTTTTTTTTTTTAGTTGTTTTTCAGGTCTGTCTAAAAGTGAACTTTTTTGAATTTTTCTTATTATAAAAGTTCACTAATGACCTAAAAAAGCCAATAAAAAAACTACTAAAAAAGCAATTGCCAAACCAACTATAAATGAGATTTCTGGAAGACTTGTGTAAATCTGGAACAGATTTGGCAGGCCATTAAGAAACATTGTACAACATTACCAACCTTGTCATTGGTTTTAAAAGATTTTTCACCACAAGCATGTCAAGAAAATTGGAATGGATTCAAGATATACGCAAAATCGAAAACCAACGCCAAAAACTCATACCCCCGAGATTCTACTGTGTGCAAGCCGCCGAGCCCAAATGATTTGTTGCAGAAACATAAAGGTCCAATAATGTTTAATGCATTACCCACAACATGAAAACTAAGCACAATGGAACAGAATTTTTCACTAATTAAATGTGGCCTTCCAAACAAGTTAATTGCTATCTAATCTTTCATGGAAGACATCTACAAAGACTTCCAACAAGAAAATGACCCTTGTGGTTTTTTCCTTTTTCTTTTTCTTTTTCTTTTTATTTTTGCTGTTGCCAACAATTTGGCCATGCCATTCAGAAAATTTCATTCATCAAGATAGCTAGTTAGTTAGATATGACTGAAGATGTCCAGCAAAAAATGTACCTTGGAAGAACATTAATATAACTCTGCATGCAATTGACTCCGCAGCTCCACCCTTCAATTTTTCTATGAGCTCCTCACACTTCCAAAAAAGCTTCCTCCCTGCAGGGTCCTCACTTCCCCCAAAGATCCTACTCACAGAATCGAGTTCCCTTATGAGAGCTTCCCGGTCCCAATTCGGTGCACACTGTTGGAATACATCTTTAACCCAGCCTAATAGTTCAGATGCCCTCTTGCATGCCCAGCACCTAAAAAGCATCTCACCAGGAACAGCTCCACTCTTAGAAGGGCCCATACCAATGTGTTTCTCATGAATCGCACAATCAATATGAGTCCAATGAGAACACAAATCACAACCAATCCAACGGCACGTATTCACTTCAAAATCAAACTTGTTACAGATCACGCACATGCAGAGATTGCAGAAGCCTTTCCTATTGGTGCATATTTCGCAGGCACAGTCACCTGCTGGAAGCTCATTTTGGCATGCAATATTTCTACATCGCTTATAAACGAAAACCTCAATTAAGGAAGTCTGAGAGAGGCTAATAGTTGGATGTAGGAATGCTTGAATTCCTGTGTTTATAGCAACAAGAATTTCCAGCTGAGTATGATGCGCTCTAATCAACGTCTTGGCAGTCAAATCAGACCTACTTTGTACAAGGCCTTGCAAAATAAAAAATTCCTCCCTATGCTGAGACCCACCATTTCCCTCAAGAATTACGTGAAGCCTGCCTTTTAATTCTTCTAGAATCTCTTCCGACAGCGAATGCATCTTTTCAGAAATTAGATCAACTCTTTCTCTCGCTATGTCCTGAAGAGAAATGTTGTTCGATTTGGAAACCCTACGAATGACTGGCTGTTCAGCAAGATCAGTCTCTACTCTTGCATTTTCTAGCTTATTTGCCATAATAGCATCAGCTGTTGGCCAGGTTTCTCTCGAACTGGCACTCTCAGCAGGGAACTCCCGAACCTGATTGTAATTTGATCGAGGTCCCAGAGGATCAGGTGAGCCAGGTGCATTTGCAGATGCTAGGAGTAGGGACGTGTGCAATCCACCGGCTCGCGGTAGCTGATGTGCAGGATTCATATTTGGTGAAGGTTGGTAGTGGCTGTTTGATCCAGATGACATTCCCATCAAACAAATTTACTAGTTCCCTTACTGTGATTAAAAAACAAGCTCATACAGTGTCATCCTTCAATGCTAAGGAACAGAAACAGATTGTATGTATAATTTGAGCTAAATTCAAATAAACAAATATTTGGAGAGAAGGGAAAGGTGTTAGAATTAAACAACTGAGATTCTGAGAGATTTTACAATTCCTGTGGCCTATCAATAAAGATCATGCCTTTCACCGGAGGTCATTACATACTAGGATCCTATTCACTCCATAGGTATAAATGCGGTTCAACTTCTTTTAACTAAACTAGTTTCACAAGTTTTTTTCCTTATGAGTTAATTATCATGCATGTGATATGATTAACATTCCCAATTTCATAGCACCATTCATTTGAAAATCTTTTCTCCACAATCTTCTTGGGAGAGAAAGCACAGAAGGAGCAATATTACAAATTTTGGAATCAGAAGTAATAAAATGAAAAGCCCCCTTATACATTCCAAAAAAAAAAAGGGTCAAGGAAATAAATAACCAAAAACACATTATAGTCTTCCTCAATGAAGCATGTAAATTATAATCCATACTAAGAAGATCAACACAGCTCCAACATTAATTGCATCACCACAGAAACATCACAAAATTAAGAAAACTGGAAAAAAAAATAAAGCAGCTATGTTTGACCAACACAATATAGCATATCACCGAATCACAGACTGGTTGGTTGCCAAGAAAATACCAAAACTTTTCTTTTCATTCATTTTCTCAGCATCCGAACAACAAGCAACATTGGTTCATACATAAAGATAGAGTAAATACTCACCAGTAGAGAGGCAACGTGGAAAACGAGGGTAAATTAAGCAATCGGTGGTTGAATCTGTAAAAGAGTGCAGATTTCAATAACTAAACTGAAATTTTGTTGTTTCCATTTTTTTGTGGTTGAGATCAGAACAATCTTTTCGCACGCAAAACCCTCTCAACTAAGAAAGTCCATCGTAGACGAGGCGTCGACGGTGACTGACAGAAGACCAAGGAAACTGACACCGGCACGACCGGTTGTTTGTTTACTGGGTTGACTGGTTGTGTTTGTAAAAAGTGAAATTATTTATAAATCGAATTTGCTGTGATCCGAATTTCTGTTAATCGAACAATCGGTTTTACTCTCATTTATCATGATCGTCAATTTGTCATTTAGACGACTGGTCGAACAATCGGCAGTTGACTTGCCAGATGATCAGCATAAACAAATTCAAACAGGGTTATGCTAAGGAGCAAGGATCCTCTAGAGTGATTTTTTCCTAAAGTTTCCTAAAGTGCTACAGTGTATGGTTGAGATTTACTGGCAAGTCACATCAATTTTTCTGATGTGACTTGCCAATAAATCTCAACCACACAATATAGCACTCTAGGAAACTTTAGAAAAATTTCACTCTAGAGGATCCTTGGTGTATGCTAAGAACCAAAATATTTTATCCAATATCCTATCCAACCTCTTACATGGCGTGACGTGGGACTCGCATACACCTGAATTTGTGTAAATTTCACTGTATGAGAGAGATCTGATAAAATATTCGAGATACATAGTATTTTTCATTCAAATAACATCAAATTAGCATGTCATCGTGTTATGTACAGATAAAATAATATATTTATTTAAAAAATATATTATAATTATATTTAATTTTTTAGAGAAATTTATCGAAAAGTCCTTTATGGCTGAATTGTGTTTCATTTGGTCCTGCTGATTTTTTCTTTGATTGACAACGCCATATTAGGTGGGATTGCTTACCCATAAGTCCTTTTTTAAATTTTTTTGTGTGGCCTGGACGAATATGCCCTCGCCTATTATATGGGATGTTCTGTTTTTCCATATTGGTATGTGCAATCCCAGCAATTGTGGAAGTTGACAGTGGGTCAAAATTCATTTAAGAGGTATTATAATTAGGGTTTACATTGTGGGTTCATGGTCGTCTGTGCGGCTTAGAAATTCATCCGCTTACGTTCACACCGTCATATCACACAGGTTCTCTCTGCATTTTGTGTTACGGATTCCCCCCTCACCATGCCCACACTTCAGTAATTCCCCCCTCACCTCTGCACAACTTCGTCGATGTTGTGGAACACACCGACACGTGAATGTTTACAGATAAACATTCGACTTCACGAACACAATAGTCAATTCCATGTATTCCCGTTCGCTACGCACTTGTAAGCACACATTGACAACGATGCACAATTCCCATTGCAGTTGCATTTCTATCGCAATTTTTTTCATTTTGGGCTTATGGGTCTTTCTCACATACTTAGTCGTGTGTTATTTCTTACTGATACATGTGTCGTTATGTAGATGGATGCCTTTTTTATGCTTCTTTGTTCTTACCGGTCCACGAATGTCGCATATAATCTGCAATCGTCAAACACATTTGCTGAGGTTGTCGATTATGTTTGTTCAAAGTTTGCCGGACTCCTGCCGGGAAAATTCGAGTTGTTCTATAATATTCCCGGCTATAACAACTTCTCCTTACAGAATGATGTGGACCTGAAGAATATGGTTTGCCTTGCGCGCTCGTTCCAGTTGCAGTTAATTGACGTGGTCATTGAACAACATCCTCGTCGGGATGGCAACACTCCTGCCATTGACCCAATGATAATCCACGCACAGGGCACAACGAGGGATGCACTACCTAATGATTTCGGAATGGACGATGAAGTCAACCTACTGCAATCATTTTGTCCCCACAAGGAGAAAGTCTTCCTTTCCGCTCCATGGGCAAAAGGTTTTACCCACATCGGACAACATTTCGAAGGTGGGGCTTCTGAATTTCGCAATGTACTACGGAAATACGCTGTTGAATGTGGGTTCTATATCAAATTTCTGAAGAACGACTCCGTTCGGGTAACGGCTATATGTGCTATGAACGAATCGAAGGCTTGCACGTGGTCTGTGCACGGACGGAAATTGTAGGCAAACGGATTTTTCTACTTACGAAAATGGAACAGTGAACACATTTGTGGCGTGGTTGTGCGTACGTCCACACACCCACTTGTTGGGTCTGATCTTGTGGCCAACATTGTATTTGAACCTGTGCGTGATAGACCACTAACCCGTCTGACCGAAGTGATATTGGACTTGAAACAAGATTACGGGCTCGATATAAGTTACCGGGTGGCCTGGTTAGGTGTTGAAAAAGCGAGGGGAGAATTGTTCGGTGCACATTCCATTTCGTTTGACCAGTTACGTTGGTATAGGAATGCAGTATTGGAACACAAGCCCGGGACCTACATTAACATTGAATACGATGATCACACCCAACAGTTCACACGCTACTTTATTTCATTCAAAGCATGCATCGACGGGTTCCACCATTGCCGTCCTTTGTTTTTCCTAGACGCCACGTTCCTTAAAGGCCGCTTCAAAGGTTTTCTACTTGCGGCCACTGCAAAAGACGGAAACCAAGGTTAGTTTGTTCAATTTAAACCATCACACTACCCCATTCACATGACAACCAACCATACCACCTTTACACTATATTTTAACGTGGTCATTAACCCCCGACGCTATGTTTCTGTCACAACCCTTGCATACCGTACATAATTAGTTCTACAAAATTTTCCAAATCTGCAGGTTTGTTCCCTCTATCATATGCGGTGGTTGATTCCGAAAACACCTCAAACTGGTATTGATTTCTTCATCATCTCGCGCAAGTGGTTCATGGGGACAGACCTCTAACATTTGTATCGGATCGGAACCTTGGTTTGCTTGAGGCAATGCTGACCGTATTTCCGAATGCAGAACATGCATTCTGTCTATAACATTTGTAGAGGAACTTAAGGGACAGGTTGCGTTACACAAACAGTATGCATCGGGCAGGTTTGGTTAGCAAATTACGACATTGCGCATACGCACCAACTGTTACCGCTTTTAACCACAGAGTTGAACAATTCCAAAAATCGAGTCGGTCTGTTGCATCTGAATTCCTAGCAAATACACATCCACAACATTGGGCAAATGCATTTTTCAGGTCAGTCCCACATGTTACTCAAAAAAACCACATGCACAACACATTTCCTCATAATGTTCATATTTATTTACCTACATGTTCTACTCCTTTTGCAGGGGGCGACGTTATGGCGAAATGTGCTTAAATGCTGCAGAATCATTCAACTCATGGGTCCGTGAGGCCCGTTACCTCCCAATCACAAGAATGGTTGACAGCATACGGACCAAATTGATGCGACAAATGGCGAAACGTAGAGACGCTTCCCAAATGTGGACCGGCACCATATGTCCCAAAATGGAAGATTGATTAGAAAAAGCATTCAACGAAGGTAGATCATGGAAAGTGAGCCAATCAAACGCTGATGTGTACGAAGTGCACTCTTTTCCATCGGTCACTGTTGATATCGGATAGCGCATTTGTTCATGTTTCAAGTGGAAACTCAATGGGTTCTCCCTTGCGCACATGCGATGGTTGCCGTCCGTAAGAGTGGGCGGGATTTGAACACATTGGTCGAACCATACTTCCACGTGTCCGAGTTTCGTACCACTTACGCATCAAGCATTTTCCCAATTCCCACTGTCGAGCAACCGCCTTTCAACCCAAATGATTACGTCATAAAGCCCCCTACCGTGAAACGTCCACCCAGTAGACCAAAGAAAAAGAGGATACTGTCAAAGGGGGAACATGTTCAGCAAATCAGATGCGGCAGATGTGGGTGCATGGGGAATCATAACAGGAAGACATGCAACGAACCCATTTAACCATATCCTTCCACCCGGCCACACCAGCACTAAACTATTATTACTATTCAAGTTTTTTCCTCGCCATATTCGATACAATACTTTCTTATTACTGTTCCAGTTTTTTCCTCGATGCAATATTTTTGTTTCAATTGTTTTTGGTTTCAATAATTGTGTGTGACGCCACATGACAATGTCATAGCCAATTTACTATCATTGGCACACTCAGTTATTAATAATAGGTTTTCTTCATTTAATTTCATATGTGTTATCTCCACAACAGACTTTGGTAGTTCCATCACAAACTTTGACATCCGTGTATGGAACCAATATGTTAGCTTATACCTCCCACAACATTTTTTCATGTGTCTTTACGTGCAATTCTGAACTGCAGTATTTTACAACTACAACAGAACATGCAAGTACGTGCTGAAATCATACTGACTTACACACAATCTGCATTCGTGTTTGATATGACAACATGCAGAGTAACCAACCTCAACGTGTGGACGTCATCTAGTGAATATCACACCAGCCTTTTCATATCAACAACGTATTACTTCCTCTGTCATGAATTCATACAAGCTTACCAGTGCGAACATCACGCCACAAACACATATTTACGATGCCAATATCAAAAAAACTTGCAACTCACACCATCACCACACAACGTCATTCCCAACACCAACTAACAGTCGCACCCTACCCCAAACGATGCACTTTACACAACGCCAGCAAGACGAACAGAACAACAACCAGTAAGTTAGATTTCCATACCGATGTAACTACAGATTCACATTACAACGTCCCCTTCGAACAGGATCAACAACTTAGCACACATAAACCCCCTCCCATCAAAGAATTGCACCGTACTACACATACTACACTTCCTACCACGCAAGCCAAAACCAAATTACAATACCTTATCAGTCCAACCTAAATCCCATTTCGACAACACATTCATATCAACAGATGCATCCGTGATGCCCCACCACATACACGTCCAGCACGCCACACACACATTTACGAATGAGATTAATGCAAACACACATACATATAACCAGGACATAAATGCATAACACTTTGTAAAAAAACGACCAACAGTAAATAAGTATTTCAAACGTGCGCATTGATCACTATAATTCAACACAGTTGTGAAACGGAGTAACATAATAGTTCTTCTTTGTTTGTTTATAATCTAGGCATAATTTAATTGAAGCGTAACCAAAACTATCCACGACAAAACCCACATTATATACCACATGCCAATGCAAAAACCAAAAAACCAACACACAAAATATAAACAGTATGTATTACAACTGCCAACCAAAAAACTATTTCCAAATTGTAATATACGCAGTAAAATTAAAAGTAGTTGTAGTACGTAGTAACGTAACGGTAACTGAACTTCATTCACCCAACCATTCGGCCCATGTTGCTCATCACCCCACGTATCGGATCTCTTATGAATCTTTTCACCATGTCCGCACGTAACAT